TCCGCGCCCAGGTCCAGCACCTGCGGCGCCCGCCTTGCTCCTCGCCTTGCACCTGGTCGGCACACTGCAGAGACAGGAGCCTTGCCATGAACCTGATAACGGTGCCTGGCGGTGCGTGATTAAACAGGGGACCACGGCAGGGTCCCGAAGGGCGCTCGAGGTGAATGAGCAGAGCTGAGCTGGTGGGGACGAGGTATCTGCGAGGCAGAGAGGGAATCAACCGCCTTTTTGAACTGTTCTACATTTTTGCCATTAAGCTATGCTGAGTTGCTATGACGACTATCATTTTTCATTATCCTCTCTGATCCCTGGTTAAATATTTGTTCTCATTTTTCTTGATTAATCTTGCTAAATAACTGTCTAAACTTTACCCGTATTTTCAAAGAACCAGCTCTTACATCGAAATCTGCTCTTGCAGTTTAACGCATTAGTTTGGAGGCAAAGGGACAGTGCGGTCAGTGTGGGCGGGGGAGACGGCGGCTCCGGTCAGAAGCGCAGCGGGCCGCCCGACTTTGGGCAAGCCCTCTGCCTGACATGGCGCAGCCTCGGCTTCCCCGGTACCTGCACGGCCACCGCAGCCCTCACCGGCGGCTGGGAAAACAGCCTGGTGCACAGAAAATGACTTAAAGGTCGGCTGCGCAGCTAGGCCCAAATCGCTGCTGTTTCCGCCAACGCTTCTTCCTCCTCAAGCTTACTTTGGCCTCCACAGCTTCCAAAACGCCTCCCCAGACGTGACTTTTGTCCCTCTGTCCTAGGAAGCAGGCAGAATGGCCCTTAGGCTCCCTGCACACAGTGAAATAAGCTCGACATTAACGGACGCGCTCCAGGTCACAAGACGCAACAGCAAAGCCCAGACGCGTCGCGTCCATGCTCTAGGACGCCCGTCAGTGCAGGTAACGGTGCCGGTGCTGGGCCCTCGCAGCCAGCGGCGTGGGCCCCGCAGTGCCGTCCCACTCTCCCGTGCTCCAGGCCTCACACGCAGCGGACTGCCAGAGCCGGGGCGAACGGCGCCAAGTGGGTCTCTTGGGCATGGGGACTGTCTTAGGCTGGTCCTTCCTGAGAAACCAAAGACTCGGGATGTTTTCCTTTACCTGCCCCTTACCTGCTAAGGAATGCAGACCGAGCGCCCGCAGCAGGAAATGGCTATTACAGAGATGGCTGCAAAGGGCATGTGCCCAGCGGAGTGAACTGGGGGAGAAACTCTGCCCAGATCTGCTCGTCCAAAGTCCCCTCTGTGTCCTCGTGTCTCTGCATGGCACCGGACATTTGTTGGCCAAACAGCTGCCCTTCCCAGATTCCTGTGACCTGCTGCCTTTCCCTCTCAGGTCCCAGGCCCCTCCCCCGCCCCGGCTCCGGACGGCGCGTGAGCCTCCCTGCCTGCCCTGGGCTCCGCATTCTACGTACGAAGCTAGATTTGCTTTTTCTCCTGTTAAACTGTCTCATGTCAGAAGAACCCAGAGGGTGGAGGAGAAGCCTGTCCCTCCCCACAGAGCCGATGGCAGGGGTGAGAGAGGAGTGGGGCCGTGGAGGGGGGCGCACGATCCGCTCCTGAGGACACCCGCGGTGACAGCGGCTGAGGGAGGCCGTGTGGCCCTGTGTCAGCTGCGTGCTCCTTGGGGGGAGGGGCTATTACAACCACCTGTGGATGGAAGATGACGGGGAGCGACACCCGCACCTGGAGAGCAGCCAGGCAACGCTGCAGGCGCTGGTGGGGAGCGGGGGCGTGCCCCCCATCACTTCCTTCTCAGTCAGGTAAGGGGAGGGCGTTCCCGCCTGGTGACGGAGGAGGCGGTGGCGTGGACGCCTCACGGATTCAGGTCTTCGGGTGGAAACTGACTGAAGCTTGCAGACAGCAAACCCTTGGCCGACCCCTGAAGGAGATGTCGCCTAAGGAATTCGACAGCTGCTGGGAGGGGCTGACCATGTGGCCACCTCCTGACAGACAGGCGCTGAGCTCACCTGGAAACAAAGATGCCTGAGCTCTTCCCAGGGACAGGCCACAGCGTGGAGGTCAGCTGCCAGACACCTGTTGGCAACTCCAGGCCCGGGTGCAGCGTCCCCTGTGGGGGGAGCGGGGAGCAGACAGCACCACGGTGGCTGAGGGGCCCCCAGGGCCAAGCGGCACCGAGCCACAGGCCCCCTGCTCGCGTCGGCATCTGCGGCTGTCAGACACCCACTGTCTGGAACACTGTGGGTGACACCACACCACGGTCCCGGTGGGAGATTTCTTTCTGAGTGCAATAACAGGAAAAATTCTCCTCTGAAGAATTTATGCTTCTTTTATCTTAATAAAATATTCATCAGCACCTGGGATGTGCAAGTTATCATAAAACACCCTGAAAATCGAGGCTGCCTACTGAGAACTAGGTGATAAAACCAACGTAAAATTCATCCATTAGAAAGATCCGCAAAATCACCTTAAAGAGAGACTGGCTTTTTAACAGAGGATGCAGGTGTTCTGATCAAAGCTGCAATAAGCCACGAAAAGTCCCGACACACGTAAAAAGGTATGAAACCAAAGGAGCCGGTCAGCCGCACGCGTGGAGAGAGCCCCGGAGCCGGACGGGATGTGCGGTGCGCGGCCCTGCCCCGCGCTGCTGGTGGAGCCCAGGGCTGGACGCGCGCAGGGGCAGGGGCTCTGGAGAGCCGAAGACCTTCTCAGAGACCCGCCCGCCCTGTCGCAGGTCCCTGCTACTGGGAAAGCTGACGCAGAGTCAGTCAGGCAGCGACGTGGAAGGAAGCGTTAGTGACGAGGGGACACGGTCACCTAGAATGTCCCCGACACAGGCAGCGGAAGTCCCAGGAGACACCAGCTGGTCTTGCATGAGGAAGAGGTGCCGGGCGGAGGGG